CTAAGGTTTGCCCTACCATTGGTTCAGGTAATTCAAGAAATAAAAATTAGAGAGAAACAAACATTGAACAAATATTTGAAACTTTTTATTGCGTAATTTTTCTCGTAACAATGGGGGAATTATTTCGTTTTCTCTCAAATTACGCCCTGGAAATAAATTTTCTGCCAATTCGTTTAGATTGTGATATTTACCGCGTGTCGACTAGGCAACGAACAGTATTCATAGTGATTCAAAACAATGAAACTTAGAAGAAGCATGAGCTCTGAGCAGTCATGCCAATCTCAAGGACATTACGGTGTTGCCCACATTATTATAGACTTTTTGCCCCACTCACACATGGAAATATTTGCCATTATTAGCGATCACTGTACAAAAATATATAGATATGTGACTACAATGTTACTTTTTGTGATTTTACACGTTGTTATTGTGTAACAGTGCTTTTTAATGTTCAATCTTATGCTTCAATTTTTTATTCCGTGGCCACGCGATCGGTACTAGTTAAGAAACTAGTCAACGGTAGCTCTTTATGTGGTATTAAAATATTTTTATTTTATATCTATTAAACTAATGAATTCGAATAATTATTATTGAAACTCAGCATAAAAGTCCCTATTTGGTTTATGTAGGTCCCACAAACGCCACTTATCTCGCAAAATAATTAATTTTTGAACGTAATATGGACCTGTATACTACTGAATATCTCGCTCTAACCACCTTAAAAAGACAGGCTACAGCCTAAGAAAGGAAAGAAGAAAACAGTGTTGCATAAATTCTTATATACATCTAAATAAAGACATTAAGACTTTCGGATCTCCAGTACTCATACGTTCCAAAAATGTAAATACATTTTTATAACATTAATGAATTCATTCTAACCTGTAAAGTCTGCATTTATAAGCAGATAGCATCAGCATGGAGAATGCGAAAAAAAATAATAATACTGTTATAAGTAGTAGAATATTGGCATAGGTTTATTTATGGACATTTGTAATTGAAGGAATGTGAACTTACGTATGTAGTTAAGTAAACTTCATTGAAGGTGCAAGTTCGAAATTCAAACATGTTTTTAAAATTCAATTATCCCCAGTTCAGAACAATTCCTAGAAGCATTCTTTTCCATTCAAAACTGACACGAAATGACATGTCATACCCTCAGAATCCAAGTTAACTGTTTGAGGTCATCGCTTATTATGGAAAATTTAGTTCTTGCAAATGTTCTATATACGTAAATGGTATTTAAAAAAAAATAGATAATCTCTGATCATAGGAAAGAATCAGTCGTCTTTTCAACAACAAAGCCTCTCCTACATACTAATAGTCATAATATCCACAATTTCGTTAACTAATTGTGTTCTTTCGAATATGCCCCATGCCTCTGAGTAGCAAACATTATCACAATCGTTAAAACTGAAAATAACGATTTAAGGTGAATAAGTTAGGATGAAGCAGTTTACTCTCCCTGTAATTGATTGGTTGAAAACCATTAAGGTAAAAGTGTCATTCTATAAATTCTGAGAAAAGCGCGTTTATTTTAGGCTATGTGTCAGTGGCTATGTATTTTTCTGGTTTTAATGAACAACTGAAATACCATGGTTTTAATGATGAAACAAAGCACCATGACTTTATCAGTGGTGTTGACTTAACCAGATTTCTTAGAATTTATAAAATGTTACTGATACCGTACATTAAATTGTTTGTAGAAAATCATTTTAGGGTTAGTACTATTGGCTATGAAATTGTAGAGTTTTATTGAATTTGAAATAATTGTAGGGATATTTTCGGTTTAAATTAAGAAAATATAGATAGCTGAATGTGACGCTGTAATAAGTAAATATTTCGAGGTGTCCTCTATGAGTTTTTCATCCTCCTTCTTCATTCGCTCAGAATACTGCAAGTGATGCTGTTGTAAATCGATTTCGAGATTTAAACGGAAAAACACGTTTTGTGGTCTTCAGTTACCAAGTGAGTCTTGTTTTTCATTCAAAACGTCCGTCCATCCGTCCGTCAGCTGCTGTCAGTTTGTGTGTCTGTGAACAACACTAGTCTAAACTATTCGTAGAATTTTTGTCAAAATAAATTTTCCATTAACGATCTGGCCCACATCGAGGCCCTGTTATTTTGAAAATAATTCTTTAAATTTTGCGGGTAATTTAGTTGAAGCATATTGCAATATCATAGCAGGGCAAATCAATGATACATATATTTCTAAATTAATATCATGTGAATATCGATAGCGCGCCGAAGCGGAAAGTGGTAATAGTCGAAGATTTAAATTAATTAAATATTAATAAAGAGATTTGTATTATATAAAGATTCATTTAGATATTTCACAGTACTGATAACTTTCAAGGAGAAAGACGACTGTGAAAGTGTGAAATATGTCACATTCCTTTAGAAAACAATTATATTTTTAATCTAGTAATGAAGAAGCCATAATCTTCCCAATTGCTAGACTACTCAATGTGTGAGTGTATAGTTACGCACGCAAGTGCTCGACTTCGCGCCCCTACGCACACCCCTGCACGCCCATGTTGTAGGCGTGTGTCTGCCCGTGTAGGCACTTGTCTCCGTGTGTCGGCGTGTGCGTGTGTAGCGTAAACGTGCGCGAGCGAGGTGCGTGCACTCACTGGTCCAGGTAGTCGTGCCGCCGGCTGGCGCTCGCCACCGGGTCCGGGTCGTGGTCCTGGTCCGCCCTCCGGTGCGGCGGGGGGCTGGCGTCGCAGGCGGCCAAACGCTGGCCCACTGCAGGCGTGCCCCCGGCCGCCACTCCCACACCACGAAGGGGACGGCGATCATCACGAACAGCACCCCGCCACGATGGCCACCACCTGCGCACATTGCAGCAACCTTTCTTATCAACGAGTACAGCATCAAGTGTTCAACTATAGTAATAATAATAATAATAATAATAATAATAATAATAATAATAATAATAATAATAATAATAATAAACTATCCTAATTGTACTGTTAGCAACTGGCGTGATACCAAAAACTCTCTGCAGATCGTTTAAGAACTCTGCTTGGAGAAAAGCATTATCTCCAGAAGTCGGTTATAATCAGAAGATTCATGGGAGTACATGTTGGGTTTTGAAAGCTCATTCTTGAAATTGTAGTTGTTATTAGTATTTGAAAACTGTTATTATATGTTTACATCTGAAAACGGTTATTTTATGTTTATGTGTTAGAATGCATTAATTTGTTTTGTAGATTTTAAATATGTCTGTGTTACCATGCTTTGATATTGTATCTGTGTGGTATCCATGTGAAACCAAAAACTTTGAGAATAAACAAAATAATAATAATATGAAATAACTAGCGTACCCGTGCGAGAACTTCGTGTTAAGCCCCACCCTTTTCCTATCCATTCCATTCAGAAGGAAAGTTGTTAATGAAATGTGTTAATTTGTTAAAAAATGTGTAAATGTAACTTCGTACTAACACAATATCAAATAAAAATAAAAACAATGCAATTGACGTTGCAAACGTATCCAGTATTATAGAGATATGTTCTACGAACAATTCACACTTCCTTAAGAAATTTTGAAGTTTCTTGACAGCTTTTCGCTTTCCTTGATAGTCACAAAAATGTTAGAAAGGTTTTTACTCTTGAGAAAGCGAAATAAAGTTTGTCATGCGAAAATACAGGATCGGGCAAGTACAACCGGTCCCTGGATTTCTTATGAAAAATAAATGGGGTTTTGGAGGGACAGCTTGCTGGGGTGCGAAAATTGAAAAATTATTTGTACACTAAAAAAATATTTGATTTTTTTTGCGTTCTTATGTACCTCAAGAAAAGCAATACCGAGTCAAAAAATAATAAAACTAATATTTTCACCTTTGAGTAATAAATACCATTTGTTACCATTAGAAAATGTTATCTACGCTTAGAATTCACTTCGGTACATGGGAATGTTGCACAAACTATGTTTACATATCGAATAACTTAGCGAAACGACACCTTAAGTTTGATATTAAACAGTGTACTACTTACAATACATGAGTTTACAACTGGGCATTGATGTGCAGACATCCAGATGTAGCCAACATTTAAACTGTGTGTCTGGATTGGGATCGTTGGCAGGTCCAATGAATGGCGCTATTATTTCTATAACTTTTAAATTTTATTTGCTTTTTTAAATTAATACACGTAGTATTCTAAGCTAGCGCGTTTCGATTTTTGGTGTTAATTTATTGCAAGCTATTTTAATTTAGTTAATTTAAAAAGTTCGTTCTTTGTGTTGTGCCATAGCACAAGCTTTCGCCTACCTCAGAGTACCCGTGCGAGAACTCTCGCATTTTAAACGTCACTCATTTCCCTAATCTTATATTTCCATTCTAAGAAGGAAAGTTGTTAACAAAACCTATTTATTTGTTTTAAAATGTATAAAGCTAACTTCCATTACACTAACACAATATTACATAAAAAACAATGCAATTGATGTGGAAAAGAAATTATCACTACAGATTTATTCGGTATTATCGAGAGATTTCTTGGAACAATTCACAACACTCCCTTAAAAATATTTGAGGTAATTATTCAATATTCTATGTTAGTGAGCTTTTCGCTTTTCATCATAGTCACAAAAATATTAAAAAAGGTTTTTTACACTTGAGAAAGCTGCGTGACTTGAAAGTTTCACCAAATCACTGCTGATAACGAAAATACTGGTACAGCCAAAACACAAACCAAATCTAACAAGACACTTTTACACTCTTCCCTGCACACCCACACCCCTCCGTGATTAGGTACACAGCACTTTTAAATTTAGCAAAACTTGAAATAAATGTTTTCACTACGCGAATAAGAAAGAATCTTCATCGGTACCAACCAACTATTAATAATACTTTTAGTTGTTGCTGCGAGAACGATATTGATTAATAATTATACAAATAAACCCCGTCAGTCTGCGCAGACCACTGTGTGAAATCTAAGCCTTCTAAACGTGATGCAACAAAGATAGCCAACATCACCAAGGGTTGAAATGTAGCTGGCATTGTTTGTATCGGTTAAGTACCAAACCAGCAAAAATTTAATAGAATGTCCAAGAATGTGTCATTCTGTATATTACAGTGTAAGAACGTTTCTTTGAGGCCTCTGGTATCTAAGTGTTAGTTCTTAAGGCCCTAAATGCTTCGTTTAGGAGTTTTTTAGAACAAATTTTTCATATTTTTCAAGTCAAAGTGCAATTCATCACGTCTCCGTTAAATTCTGTTCTCATTTATAAAGATTGGTTGCAATGAGAGTCGTAAAAGGTATGTATACTACTGAAATAATATAGGAGACTATAATATATAATATTAATACTTATCATATTAATAATAAAAATATTATTATTATATTCATTATTATTATTATTATTATTATTATTATTAAGGAAAGAAAGTGGACAGTTGACACTTAGCGATCAGGAAAGTTGCAAGGAACGTGGCAAATATTTGAATAGACGTTTTGATTTCCCATAGACTACAGAAAGATTCCTTCCAGAAAAACCATGTAAATTCAATTCAATTTCACATGCACCAAACAAAGAAGAAATCGCTAGGCAAATTAAAAGGCTGAAAAACAACAAAGCGTCTGGTAAAGACGAAATAGTTGCAGAACTCCCGAAGTCGGCAGATCCGAAAACAATTAAAGAAATTACATTAGTAATGCAAAGCATTTGGCACAATGAACAAATTCCTGACTGGAAAACCGCCCATCATTACACAAAATGGGAGACCGAGCCCTTCTTCCTGTCGCATACAAAATTCTCTCCCAATGTCTCCTAGACAACTCAAAAACATCTTGAGCACAAAACTGGCGAATATCACGCAGGTTTCAGGGCAGAAAGATTGTGCCCAAAACAAATCCTAAATCTAAACTTAATTCTCAGGCACCATAAGTTTACAACAAGAAAATAGTCCGTACTTTTGTTAATTTCAAAAAAGTCTACGACTCAGCTGACCGAGCCTCTGTTCCAAATTTTAGAAGAACAAGGACTGGATCTCAAACCCCTTGCAGTTATCAGACAGACATTAACTGACACAACATCTAAATTGAAGTTTGTGGGAGAAATTTCAGAGCTCTTTGTAATTAAGACGGGGGTGAGACGAGGAGATGGACTTTCTTCACTACTTTTTAAATGCATTTTAGAGAAAGTAAACCAAGAGAGCCGGAAACAAAAGTCTGAACTCAAAATTGACCAACCTATAAAATTAGGGAGAACGAATATTACGATACACTATTTTTCGAAGACGACCTGGCAATTTTAACACAGAATATTTCAACAACTCAGAATCAAATAGAAATTATGAAGGAAACCGCAGACAAAGTAGATCTCCAGATTTCATTTGAAACTAGTGGTGCTACAGAATAGCACGGACATTCCCGTATTAGTTTCCCACTTCCTTTGGTTTCGGCTAGCTATTCTAACTTGTTATATACTCTTGTCTGGTGCCTTTTATCGCTGCCTAAAGTTCATTTTTTTTTTGAAATTTTCTTAATTTTTGTGTTTCTTAATAGAGGGGAAATATTATTTTAAGAATATTAAAGAACAGTAAAATCTCATCATAAATGGCAATTTTTTTTGAAAAATTTGGAGCGGGTTTTAATAAAATGGCGCTTAAGCGGTACTGTAAATTCGAAATTTGAAGCGTTTTTCATAGAAAGTTTTTGAAATTTCGAAAAACTTCATTTGAAGTAACATACAAATATACATTGGTGCATACAAATTGCTGGAAATGTGCATATTAAAAGCGTGAGAGATATTTCAAAACAATTGCATTTGTGTAAGTTTTGAAGAAAAAAATGTCCCGAAATGAACTTTACCTCACATTAAAGAGTGCTATTACCACTATCCGTTCGAAATGTTAGAAGAAACAAAATTAGAGACGTTTTTGAGAAAACGGATCGGTTGTTCCTGAAAATACGGAATTTCGAGTTAGTTTTCACAGAAAACGAGAAGCTTTCGAGAAGCTTTACAGGACATTATGTAAACCACATGTACTCATAAATACAATAATGTGAACATATTGCCGCTAATATAAATATTAACGTGAGAGACAAGTGAAAAAAATACATTTTTTGTAATTTTTAAAGAAAAAAACACCAATAGATTAAAGAAATATGGCGTTTATGTCATATTATGGAGTATATTTATCACTACTAAAATTTTAAAGAAAAATTATTGTTTTTGTAATTTTTTTTAATTGCATCTATTGCACGCAATATTGCGCGAAGACTACTAAAATTTTCAAAAAAATATACATTACCTTAGTGAAAAAACGTACAATGGAGAACAAATTTAAAGGAAAAACATATTTGATTTTATAGTTTTAGGAAGACCTCGAAAATAATTCATACTTTTGAAATTTCCCAAAATTAAGGGTTAACCGTGAAAATCGGACCTACGACACGTAAAATTTCAAAGTTTCGTCTAGAGTCAGATAAACAAGGATTTCTTCAATTTGGAAAAAAAATTCCACGTATGGTTCAGGCGCTAGTAGTGTTCAACGGACAGACAGACGGACGTTTTGGAAAAAAAATGTTCCGTATCAAGAACCCCAAAACGTGTATTTCCGTTTAAATCTCAAAATCGATTTTCCTCAGCATTGCATAACTTTCCCTATATTACGTATATTGCATTGTATATACGTATGTATACGGGAAAGTAAAGAAACTCAGGCATGGTTTCTGGATCATGAAACATCTTCCTGCCCAGCAGAACCGTTGTTCCATGAGGTCTAGGACCTCAAGATAATGGGACCGTTATGGTGCGTTTTAGACCAGAGCGTGAGGATCATATTTCTAGCTCTGACAGTTGTGAGAATATTCCTTGTAAACTATTCAGGTACTCTACAAATCTATTCCGCGAGGAAT